GTCACCCACAACGTCCACTACGAGAACTACCGCGTCATCAGACTCAACGAGAGCCACCTGCTGCCCCGAGGGCCTGGCTGGGTGAACCTGGCCCCGGCCTCCCCCGGGCAGCTGACCACCCCCGGGCCCTCGAAGACCTGCAGGCGGGCCCGCGAGGACCCGGAGGACGGATTCTGATCACCGGGGCCCCGCCACACACACACCCGTGCACCAGAGCAGCTATTAAAGGCGGACATTGCTTTTTATGAAAAGCTGTGCTTTTAAGACGAAAGGTGTTTTGTAAATGACTTCTTTGAGCTACCGGCAAATAACAGCTTCTTTTTTAAGTAATAACGTGAGACCCAGGGCCCTAGGGACTCTTTTTTTTTTTTCCCTGAGACAGGGTCTCGCTCTGTCGCCCAGGCTGGAGTGCAGTGGTGCAATCACAGCTCACTGCAACCCCAAACTCCTGGGCTCGGGGAATCCTCTTGCCTTGGCCTCCCGAGTAGCTGGGACTGTAGGCTCATGCCACCACACCTGGCTACTTTCTTATGTTTTATTTTTTAAAACTTTTTGTAGAGACAGGGTCTCACTGTGTTGCCCAGGCTGCCCTCGGGAGTCTTGAAGGCCTGGGAGGGGCTGCCTTGGATGACCGGCCCCCTCTGGCCCAGAACCGGAGCCAAGTTCCAAGGCGGGCTCTCTGGTCCGTCCCAATCCCTCACTCTTGGCCCAGGCTAGGCCCATGGGCCCATCACGAACACTTAAAATCTCCTCATCTCTGTGGCCTGATCTCTGGCTGCCTTCCCCGGACTCCACGCTCCACTGTCCCCTGCCTTCCTCTCTCCCTGCCCCCAAGACCACTAAGGTGAGCAAACGGCTCCGCTTTGGAGTCTTGCAAATGCTGTGAAAATAAAATCCCAGCAGCAAGTCACTTACTCCTCCTTCGCTTTGGCTTCCTCACCTCTAAAATGGGCTTGACAGCACCCGCCTTAAGCACCGCCGCTGGAACAACACGCAGCGATCCCTAGAACGTGCCTTCCACAGCCTGGGAGACGGCACGAAGACAGAGGCGATGGGGACAGGATGGAGCAGCAGTCCCAGGAGGAGGACCTGCTGCACATGTGTGAGTCCACTGTCCCAGGATGCTCCAGAACCGCCAAGATAAACAGACTTCACAGAATCTCACACGGTGGGGGCCAAAGCTAAGTTAGTTTGGTAACAAAAGGAAGGGTGACCCTTCTAATCTAGGGAGCCAGGCAGACACCCAGCTCCTGTAAGGAGTGAGCACATGGTAAACATCCAACAAATAACAATGGGGAATAGTAGTATCATTAGCCCAGCTAAAAGTCACCTCCTCCATGAAGGCCTCCTTGACTTCCCCAGGCAACACCCTCGCTGCCGTCTCTGTGTATGCTTCATCTGGTTTGTGTTCTGGTCAGTCTCCCCCAACAGACCAGGAGCTCCGTGAAGGCAGAGATTTGTTAGCTTCGTCCCCTCGTCCAGCACAGGGCAGGTGCTTAGGACATGCTGTTGACGGAGTGGACCCTGCATTGCCCGCCCCATAGCTATTTGCTGGTTGAATCGCAACCCTGCCTCTCTGCCCCCACCCCAGGCTGACTCCCAGCTCGGGTAACTCCCAGGGCCCGTGGGGACACCCCCCACCCCCAGGACTAACATGTCAGAGTTGGCATGTTGCTACACAGAGGGTGAGACACTGTGCCACGTCACAGCACATTCCTAAGCTTAGCCCTGGGGCTCGGCAACATGGCAATGTCTACATTTCAAAAGCACACGCCCTTTGGCGCAGCAGCTGCATTTCTAGGAATGGATCTTACGGATAGACCAGGGTTTCTCAACGTCAGCCGTAAGGATCTTGGTCTGTCACCCAGGCCTCTGGAGTATGGTGGCATGATCATAGCTCACTGTAACCTTGAACTTCTGGGCTCAAGTGATCCTTCTGCCTCAGCCTCCCGAGTAGCTGGGACTACAGATGCCTGCAACCACGCCCGGCTAATTTAATCTCAGCACTTACTGGCATTTTGGGCTAGATCATTCTTTGTTGTGAGGGGCTATCCTGTGCACTGTAGGATGTTTAGCAGCATCCCTGGCTAGGCATGGTGGCTCATGCCTGTAATCCTAGCACTTTGGGAGGCCGAGGCAGGAGGATCACTTGAGGCCAGGAGTTGGAGATCAGCCTGGGCAACATAGCAAGACCCCATCTTTAAAAAAAAAAAAAGGAACAGATGCCACATGGACAATCTAGCATAAACATCATTGTCAAAATTAAGTTTCTGATAAGCAGAATCAGTGTAGTACTTGTAGCCTGAGCCTGGCTGCGTGGCTGATGAACAAATTCCATTCATTCATTTATTCACCATTCGGCAAATATTTACTGCACCTGCTAAGTACCAAGCAGATCTGCCCCCTGTGTGGGCAGAGGGGGCATTATGTCCAAGTGGATGGCCACTCTAAGGAGGGTCTTGGGACAGAACCAGAGTGTCTTCCGAGAAACAGTTTGGATGTCTACTCCAAAGCAGAGCTCTGATTACCTGCCCAGTGTTGAAGCTGGCCTCCAGGGCTGTGGTCAGGGACACAGTCTCAGGAGGGGGCCTGCTTGAGTCGGTCTCAGCTCTTCCTCTTTCCTAGCTGTGTGGCCCTGGGCAAGGCTCCGTACCTCTCTGAGCTTCAGTTCATTCATCTAGATTGTGGGTCATAATGATGTCTACTGGAGAGAGTCATTATGAAGATTAAAGTAGCATACATAGTAAAAACACAGTCCTGTGTACTTAGAAAGTGCTTTAAAAACATTAGCTTTTATTATTAGATCACAGAAGCCTCAGGAAAAGTGTCCGAAAACACCCATTACATACCACTTTTTGGGGGCATTGTAGCTCCATGATGATACTCGTAGATAATTTAGTCAAATTAGCTGAAGTATTTGACTTGTATTGAATTGTTGGCTCTCAGTCATTTAGATGTTGGGAAATTGCTACCGACACCAGATCCCAGCAGCACACCCACAACTAGAGGTCGTTCACTCCAAGACTGCAGCTTTCCTGACCAGCGGCCCCCACGTTGTAAGGAGAAACTGAGGCACCCATGGTCCTTCCTATCTTCAGGTCCTGGGGCAGTCCCTGCATCTAGCATCTGCCTTTACAAATGCCTCCCACTCTGGGAGGGGCAGTCTCTGGAAATCAGCAGTGGGCAGCCAGTGTCTTGTCCAGCCCGCCTGGTGCGCTCACAATAAAACTTGTATGTTGGATGCTGGAAAAAAAATGAAACGTGAGAAAGAATGAACAGTAGGAGTGGAAGAACAGAAAGGAGCAGAAACCAGAGAAAGACGTGTCCATGGCAGGAGACTGATTTGTCCCCAGCCAGCCGGGGCGGTGGGGGATGGGGAGGAGGTGTAAGAGCTAAAGGATGCAAGAGTCCCCTGGTCAATATGTCAATGATCATGTCATGGGTACTTTCAACCACCTCCCCCAGGCTCCACAATGACACCTAGTTCACCTCCTGTTCATGGAGGCTGCTTGGCACAAACTGAAGACTAATACATAGTTATTGACCAAATTAACAAATGTAAGAAATAATTAATTGATAACCAAAACAGCCTAAGCAAGTAACTTTTGGGTCTTCTTTTCCTAGTGTCTAAAATTAATGGATTGGACTAAGACAGAGGCCTGGGAACCAACCTCACCTCAACTCTGGTGCTTACTAGCTGCGTGTGACCTTGGGATGTGCCCTGGTTTCCTCATCTATGAGATAAGAATAATAGTACCTATCAGTTAGGTACAGATAGGTAACCTATCAGTTAGGGTTGTTTCAAAGATGAACCAAGTTAATAATTGCAAAGCGCCTAAAACAGTGCCTGGAAGAAAGTACTATGTAAATAAACAAGTAAGTTTCCAGGGTCCCCTCCACCGTGGACTTTTTCAGGCCAGGGAAGAACAGATGTGGAAGAGAGGGAGGGAAAGCGGCCCAGAGGTTCTGGATCCGCAGAGCTCTCGCGCGCATGCTCACTGAAGGTGTGGGACTACGTTACCCACAATGCGTCCCTTCGAGGACTACGTTACCCAAAGTGCCTATCGAGGGCCCGCCCACACGGCCTTGTTCGCACGCCCCGACAGCCAGCTCAGCCAATGGCGCGAGGACTGCGTTACCCACGATGCCTCGCGCGGTCCCGCCCGCACGGTCTCCTTCCCACGCAGGGCTGGCTTCTTGTTCCCCTAGAACGGCGTCCCGAGCCGGCCCGTGCCCCCCACACTCGCAGCCCAGCTCGGGTCCTGGCGCGCTGCTCCGGTCGCGTCCCGAACTCCCCACGGCCCGCAGCGCTGCTGGTGAGTTGCGGGCGCGGGGGCGCGGGTCCCGCCTTAAACTCCCATTCCGCGGCTCGCGCCGGCGCGCGACTTTGCGCTGCGGCCTCGGGCACTGCTCACGCTCCACCTGAGGGGAGGAGACGCCAAAGCAGCCCGACCGGGAGTCCCAACCCTCCCAGGACCTGGAGTTGGAGGTGCCGTGGTGGCCATCCACTCGCGGTACCCGAGAGGGCCGCGGAGGAGCTGCAGGGCCTCGCTAAACTCAGACATGGGGTCAAGTTGGCGCAGAATCTGCATCTTTGTGGGCCCAGTTTTCATCAGATTTCCTAAGGGACTTTCCATAAAGGGCCAACTGTAATAATGGAAAATAACGTTTCTCGAGCTCTGACCACGTCCCAGCACTGCGCTAAACCCTTCCCAAACATCCCTTTTAGTCCAAGCAGCAACCTGTGTGTAGACCATGTTATCGTCTGTTTTTCAAATAAGGAAACAAGCGCAGAGACCTTAAGTAATTTGTCCGAGAATTAGCAGGGGATTAGTAGTGAAGATGGGTTTGTTCTTCAACCCTTTTCCTTTTGCCAATGAAGATGAGCTGGCCCTGGAACTAGGGCAGGGGCTTGCAGGGGCTCACAGGTGCAGATGGCTTATCCAGCCCCAGTGCTACACTCCAAATGATTCCATCATCTCTCCACAGAGCCCTGAAAAAACGTCTTTTCCAGTGTCTGGCCAGAGGTATAGGGAGTGACAAGTTTGACTTCAAGGAGAAGGAGCAAGGCCTGCCGGGAACATGGCCACTGCCCCTGGCCTCCAGCCTCTGCCACTCCTGGAGCAGGACCTGGAAGAGCAGGACCTGGAGCAGGATGAGATCCTGATCGTCAAGGTGGAGGAGGACTTCTGCTGGGAAGAGGAGCCCTCCCTGGAGGTGGAAGACCCCAGCCCTGAGACTTTCCGCCAGCTTTTCCGGCTCTTCTGCTACCAGGAGGTGGCTGGGCCGCGGGAGGCCCTGAGCCGCCTCTGGGAGCTCTGCTGCCGCTGGCTGCGGCCCGAACTGCGCACCAAAGAGCAGATCCTGGAGCTGCTGGTGCTGGAGCAGTTCCTGACAGTACTGCCCGGGGAGATCCAGGCCCGGGTGCGTGAGCAGCAGCCGGAGAGCGGTGAGGAGGCCGTGGTCCTCGTGGAAGGGCTGCAGCAGGAGCCCAGGAAACAGAGGCAGCGGGTGAGGTGGGGGGCATTTTAACCCTGAGGTGAGGAAACAGGGCCCCTGTCATCCTCAGAGCCCTGCTGCTGAGGTCTACAACTGGCAATTCCTTGGGCTCCAGGACCTCGGCCAGTCTTGGCCATTGGGTGACCGGGGGCTGCCTGGATGCTGTGAAGTGAAGAAGGCAACTGTAAAATGTTTCTCAGCCTTGGCCAATGGGTGTCCACCCTCTGATTAACCACATAGAGCCCCACTAGCCCTTTATAAGCAAGTGTGGGTTGGTTAATACCATCACAGCTACCCTGGTCAAACAAGTTGTGATGGAGGGAGGTCTGACACATTCCAAGGCAGGGTTCTGGGAGTCGAAGTGACCCCAAAAGAGGGAAGAACACTGGGAAGAAAGACCAGGGGCTGGTGGGGAGGGGGGCACCCTAGTTAGACCCCACAGAGTGTCCCCAGTTTCTCTAGAGATGTGTTGCCCAAAATGCTAGCTGCCAGCCACGTGTTGGTTTTTAAATTATGGTTAAGTAAAATTTAAAATGTAGGCTGGGCGTGGTAGTTCGTGCTTGTAATCCCAGCACTTTGGGAGGCCAAGATGGGAGGTCAGGAGTTGAGACCAGCCTGGGCAACATAGTGTGACCCCATCTCTAAAAAAAAAAAAAAAATGAAGAAGAAGATTATTCAGGCTTGGTGGCATGTTCCTAAAGTCCCAGCTACTCAGGAGGCTGAGGCAGCAGGATCACTTGAATCGAGGAGTTTGAGGCTGCAGTGAGCTATGATTGTGCCACTGCACTATAGCTTGGATGACAGAGCGAGACCCTGTCTCCAAAATACCCAAAAAACGTAGTCACACTGGCCTTTCAAGGGCTCGGTTGTCACATGTGGCTAGTGGCTGCTGTACTGGGCAGCACAGACAGGACACTTCCATCAGCGCAGAAAGCTCCATAGACAGCGCCTCTCTAGAGCACGCTGCAGCTCCTTCCAGTGACGTTTGGAGGAGGGTGGGAAGCCTTACACACATTCCTCCAGCTTCAGTTTTAGTCACTAAACTTCTCGAGATTAAAAATGAAGTCCTTTCACCCTAGTCGTGTGCCAATTAAAAAGAAAAATCCTGCCGCCTGTTGTCTCAGTTCATTTTTCAGTACCAGTGCCAACAGGTCCCCTTCCTCCCTATGGCAATGCCATTGGCCACACACTGCTCTTTTTTTGCAGCCAGCAGGACAGATACATCCCCTAAGACTTGAGCACACCGTCAGCCGACTGGTAGCAAATCCTGCCGTCCTGGTGGCCCAGGACACAGGATCCCTTCCCAGCAGCCTCTTTCCTGGTGCCTCTGGCTTTGGGTTTGGGGTCCCTGGCATGGCTTCCTCTGTCACTGTGTGCACCACCACCTCTGCACATGTACCACATGGCTGTTGCTGAGCAGAGAGGGGCAGGCCCCACTTTCTGAGGGGACTGTCTCCTCTTAGAGATATGCAGTGCTGGGCACGAGGGAGCCTGAGGCAGGGTCCCCAGCGCTGGTTTTGCAGTTCCTGGGGATGTCTCTTGTCCCAAGTACTGTTACAGAGCTCAGTCCTGAGACCCAATTTCATCCAAGTCACCTGTTCTGTAATTAGGAAATAGATCATCTCAGAGTGCCTATAGATGATTTCAGAAAATCTAGCAAATGCAGTAATGTGAACTTCTGAGATGAGGCGGGGACTGATTCCGGGCCCTTTTGGCCCAGGGTCTGTTGGGAGCACCAAGGAGCAGAGGGTAAGAATGTGGCAGTGACAGTGACGTGATGTGACAGGGAGAGGCTGTGGAGTTGAGCAGGCTGCCCTTTGCCCAGACTGGGTGTTGGCTGGAGGAAGGACTGAGTGAGAACTGGGCACAGGGAACAAGTCTGCAGGCAGCCCCGGGGTCGGGGCACTGGCTGGGGTGCCTGAGATGAGACGTTGGGGACCCTCTTCTGCCTTTCTGAGGGCCAGTGAGCAGATCTCTGTCTGCGTGCAGGGCTCAGGGGTGCTTTCTCACGACATGGTGCCCCTGGAGACAGGGGGACAGTCCTCCAAACGCCAGACAGAAGCTCAGCCAGAGGAGCTGTCCTTGGAGGAAGAGGCTCAGTGCTCCAGCCAGCAGCACCCAGCCCCCCTGAGCCGTAGACCGAAAAGGGATCCCCTGCTGTGGCCAAAGAGGGGTGAGTAGTCGCCCTTCTGGAGGAAGGAAGTGGTGCAGGGGTGGGGCCTGCCTGGGTGTGGGCGTGCATGCTCTCCAGCCAGGCACCGAGCTTGAGCTTGCGCAGGGGGCTGTCTGGGTGTGCTGTGGGGCTCTGCCCGTGACTCTCAGCTCCTCTCCAGGCCCGCCAGCCTCCCGGGACCAGGAGATGGCGACGTCGGCCTCGTCCTTCCTTTCGGCTTGGTCCCAGGTGAGTGGGGCAGTCCAGGTCTGCAGCATCCTAGCGTCCGGCCTGACCTCCCGTGTGTCACACTCCCTGCTTAGGGGATACTTCTCTCCCTGTGTCCAGGGCTTTGTATGTCAGAGGAGCTCCCCCTGGAGTTTCACCTGTTTTGCCCCAATCCTGGCCTCCTGGGAGTTCTTGCCTTCTTTCCAGATGCCATCTGAGTATCAGTGCCCTGGAAGGTTCTGGGGTCCAGCAGTGAGGCAAGGCAGTGATCTCCAACCACGCTGGGCACTAGATTCTCTTGGGACCCTGAGTAGGATACAGATTCCTCTCACACTTTGGTCTGGAGCGGGAGCCTCCTTTCCTTGCTTGTTTGATTTTCAAACATCAGCTTTACAACTCACTCATTCAAAGTGTACAATCTTCAGTGTACTTACAGAGTTCTGCAGCCATCACCACAATTTTAGAATGTTTTCATCACCCCCGAATCGTCCTGGTACTGTTAGCAGTCACTCCCCATTTCTCCCCAACCTCCTGAGCTAGACGACCACTAATCTGCTTCCTGGATTCGGGGCCATTGGCCTAGAGGCTTCGTAAAGTCCCCAGTTTGCCCTGTTTGGGTCCCAGGGCTGGCTGGAGCAGAGGCAGGGGATGCTATGTCTTCTCCCCATGGAGTGTGGGCCCTGGTGGCTGGGCACACAGTGGATCAGCTGCTCTGTGTGGCAAACCTGTCCCTTCCATGGGGAACAGCAACAGTGTTATCCCCTGGAGCAGCTCCAGTCTGGGCTCGGGGAGGGGAGGCAGATAGCGGTATTTGGAGTGCAAAGTGTGGGGCTGGGGGAGGCACTGGGAGGTGGCAGGAATAGTGGAGAGGACGGGTGCCCTTCCAGGCCTGGCCCCAGCCTGGTGGGACAGTGAGGGCTGCAGCACCCCAGGCCACTGGCTCAGGGCTGGGACTGATGGGAGTACATCCCAGCAGGCGCCAGGGACCTTCGAGGACGTGGCCATGTACCTGTCCAGAGAGGAGCAGGGATGCCTGGACCCAGCTCAGCGGCGCCACAGCTGGGACATGCTGCCAGAGAATGAGGGTACGTGCAGGGAGCCCGTGTCTGCTGGGGGTGTGTTGAAGTCCAGCCTGCAAAGCCAGGGCTGCCAGTGGCCAGTGTCCCAGCTGCCGGGGCAGTGTGGCCACACACACCCACGATCCAGGCAGATGCCCAGAGATCCCTTGGCATCCTGTTCTTCCACCCCCAGCACCTGCGCATTGGTCCCACTGCTGAGTGCCGGGTGCCGCCCAGCTCTGTCCCTGCACTAGCCCTCCTGCTCTTTCTCTGCCCGTTTGTTTCTTCTGCCACTCCTGAAACCTTTGCTAAAGGCATCGAGATGCTGCTTTTTATCAGCGAGGGCTCTGCAGACAAGCAGAGCCGATAGGAGAAGCGCGCACACAGACGCAGATCTATTTTAAGGGATTGGTTTATTCAGTTGCAGAAGCGGACAAGTCTGGAAGCTGTAGGGCAGGCGGGCAGGCCGGGTCCTTAGTCAGGATTTCTGTGAGTCTCGAGGCATGATTCCTCCTCCAGGAAACTTCCATTTTGCTCCTAAGGCCTTTGACTGAGGGGAATGAGGCCCACCCACGTGATACACTTGCCTCGCAGCAGCTGGGTATAGGTGTCGGACGCATCCACGAGACACCGTCACGGCAGCATCTAGTCTCGAGTTTGACTGAACAGCTGGCACCGTGGCCTGGCCAAGTCGACTCATAAAATTCACCACCACACGCATCCCTTTACACGCTTGTTTTTTTCCTTGTTGTTTTTCACTGTTCTATTGAACGAATGCCAGTGAACACGCTTCTGCTGCCACGTGCAGGCAAATGCCAGTTTGCTGTGTGTGCGGTTGCTGGACCCCATTCTGTGCCGTTGGTCCACGTCTGTCACCCAGAGTGTGGTGACTTGGCCGCCTCATCTCTGTCGTGATGGCCCCCTCCCAGGGTCACCGGGAGCCTAGGGCCCTGTTGCCTTACTGTCTCTCCCTTGGAGGAAGCCAGGTCTGCACAGACGCACAAGCCACCTCCCACTTCTCTTTCTGAGCAGCCCCTTTTCCTTAGGGTCTCTGGCCCGCTTTGCTCTGATGCAGAAAGGCACACTGAGTCCCACGAGTTCTGACCCACACACGCCTGCGTCCTCTCTTCTCTCACCCCGTGAGCAGGACTCCTCACGCCCAGGCCCTGTGTGGTGGCCCAGTGGGCGAGGGCAGGGCCTGCGGGGCTTGCGCGGCCTCCAGGCCCAGAGAGGTCCTGGCTGGGCTGGCTCCGTGAGGAGGTCAGCAGAAAGAAAGCAGAAGTCGAAGATTAGGTTCTCCTCTCTCTAGGGAGTTTAGACCTTGGTGACTGTGTTTGTGAAGTTCAAGTTCAAGGGCCTAGAGCAAGGGTTGGCAGACATTTTCTGTAAAGGACCAGATAGTAAATATTTCAAGTTTTATACACCGTATGGTCTGTATTCCAGCAAGTCAGCCCTGCTGTTGTAGCACAGAAGTAACCGTGGACCGTAGGAGCATGAATGGGCATGGCTGTGTTCCATTAAAACTCACTTACAGGTTGGTCCGAGTGCAGTGGTGTTTACAACTAATTGATCACAACCAGTTACAGATTCCTTTGTTCCTTCTTCACTCCCACTGCTCCACTTAACCAGCCTTTAAAAAAAAAAAACTGATTTACAGAAAATAGGCGTCCTCCAGCAGGCTGTAGTGTGCTGACCCATGGCCTAGAGGAAAGACAAGGGGAGATAGAGGACCCTAAGAAAGGTTTGGGGCTCCAGAAGAAGTGTGTTGACAGAGAAGGAGGAGGGTCATACGAAATCCAGCTGGAGCCGGTGGTGCATGCCTGTGTCTCAGCTAGTCAGGAGGCTGAGGCAGGAAGATCTCTTGAGCCCAGGAGTTCAAGGCCAGCCTGGGCAACACAGTGAGTCCCCATCTCTTAAAAAATAATCATCATCCAGGCAGGAGAAGTGAACCTGGAAGAAGGGAGGGCAGGGAACCTGGGCCGAGCAGAGAACTGTGGAAGCTTCTCCAGGGCCAGCAGGAAGGAGTCAAAACGCCATATGCAAAATCGCTTTGCACCAGCAAAGCAAGGCAGACTGCCTGATGCCCTGCCCCATCTGGCAAGATCTCGTTCCTACCCACACCCCTGCCCCAGCGTACCGCGGGATGCAGGAATGTCAAGTCAAATTTGGGGAGCAAGCTTAGTTTTGGTTTGTATTAAGGTTTTTTAAAATTGTTAAATTTTTTTATTGTGGTAAAATACACATAACATAAAATTTACCATTTTAACTTTTTAAAGTGTATAATTCACTCTCAAAAGTACATTCACATTGTTGTATAACCACCGCCACCATCTTTCTCCAGAACTTTTTCATCTTCCCAAACTAGAACTTTGCACCCACTAAACATTAACTCCCCATTCCTCCTGCCCCAGCCCCTGGAAGCCCCATTCTTTCTGGCTCTATGGATTTGGTGGTTCTAGGTACCTCGTAGTGGTGGGATCATTCAGTATTTGCCTTTCGTAGCTGGGTTATTTCACATAGTGTATGTCTTCCACGTTCATCCATGCTGTAGATGTGTCAGAATTTCCTTCCTTTTCTTTCCTAGATGCAGAGCCTCACTCTGTCACCCAGGCTAGACCACAGTGGTGCAATCATAGCTCACTGCAGCCTGGAATTCCTGGGCTCAAGCAAAGCGATATTCCTGCCTCAGCCTCCAGAGTAGCTGGGACTACAGATGCACATCAAGACACCTGTAGTCTGTTTTTCTATTTTTTAGTAGAGAGAGGGTCTCGCTCTTGCTCAGACTCGTCTCGAACTCCTGAGCTCAAGCAATCCTTCCACCTCGGCCTCTGAGAGTGCTAGGATTACAGGCGTGAGCCATGGTGCCCGGCCCCCATTTTTGAATTGGGTCGTTTTGTTGTTGAGTTCTAGGGGTTATTTATGTATTCTGGATATTAACTCCTTAAGACATAAGATTTGCAAATAATTTCTCCCATTCTATGGGTTGCCTTTTCACTATCTCGATAGTGTCCTTTGATGCACAAAAGTTTTAATGCTGATGTAGTCTAGTTTATCTGTTTCTTTTGTCGCCTGTGAAGAGGTAGTTTTATTTTATTTTATTTTATTTCTTTGAGACAGAGTCTCACTGTGTTGCCTGGGCTAGAGTGCCATGGCATCAGCCTAGCTCACAGCAACCTCAAATTCCTGGGCTCAAGCGATCCTTCTGCCTCAGGCTCCCAAGTAGCTGGGACTACAGGCATGCGCCACCATGCCCGGCTAATTTTTTCTATGTATTTTTAGTTGTCCGATTAATTTCTTTCTATTTTTAGTAGAGACAGGGTCTCGCTCTTGCTCAGGCTGGTTTTGAACTCCTGAGCTCAAACAATCCGCCCGCCTCGGCCTCCTAGAGAGCTAGGATTACAGGCGTGAGCCACCACGCCCGGCCTGAAGAGATAGTTTTAGATAATGTGTGAAGTTTGGGTTGGTCACTGATGATACGCAGCCAGACCAGTGGGTCTCCACGGGGGCAGTCTTGCCCCAGAGAACATTTGTCTGTGAGTGGAGATGTTTTTGGTTGTCAGGATGGTAATAACTGACATCCAGTGGGTGGAGGGCGCGGCAGCTAAACATCCTATGGTGCACAGCCCCCCACCGCAGAGACCCAGCCTAGGGTAGGCCTGTGGGTGTCATTTGTACTGTGACTGGCAAACCCTGATCTGGAGGTTTCTGAGAAGGTTCTGTGCATGGGCTGACCTACTCCTGGTGCAAAAGGATCTGTAGGAGTCAGAAAGGGAAGAGGCAGAAAATTCGCCAGCCCTCATGGCCTCGTGTGTCCACACAGGACCCTCAGGAGGACGGAGGGAAGGGTGTGGTTCTGCCCGGCTCTGCTGTCGGCTCCCGGAGCCCAGACCTGCCTGCCTTCCAGGGCACAGTCGAGTTGCTGGGTTTTCCTTACCATGTGCCACATGATGTGGTTTATGTTCAGTCCTTTTTGGGGGGCCAGGTGGAGGGGTACCAACAAAAGTTTGATTTATTTGATCTTATTTTTAAACAAAAACAAATTAGATTGGTACTCCTGGCCCCAGAGTTTTTTAATTTTTAGTTTTTTTAATGAGGTGAAATTCACATAACATAAAATTTGCCATTTTTCTGTGAACAGTGTGGTGGCATTTAATACATTCACATTGTCGTACAATTTTCGTCTCTTTCTAGTTCGAAACACTTTTCAGCAGCTGAAAGAAAACCCTCTGCCCGTCAGCAGTTTCTCCCCCTTCCCTTCCCCCGGCCCCGGGCAAGCCCCAGTCTTCTTCCCCTGCCTGTGGATTTGAATGTCCTGGACCTTTCATGTAAATGGGATCTGCAGTATCTGTCCTTTTGTGACTGGCCTCTCTAACTCAGCGTGTGCTCACGGTTCACCTGTGCAGTGGCACAAGTCAGCGCTTCATTCCTTTTTATGCCCGACGGTGTCCCATCGTGTGAACAGACCATACTTTGTTTATCCATTCATCTGTTGGTGGACCTGGGATCGTTGCTACTTTCTGGCTGTTGTGAATAGTGCCGCTGTGAACATTCGTGTGTAAGTTTTTGTCTGAGCACATGTTTTCAGTTCTCTGGGTATGTACCTAGGAGTGGAAGTGCTGGCTCACACGATGACTCTACGTCTAACTTTTTGAGGAACTGCCAGACTCAGTTCTTTTTAAAAAATTATTACAACAGACCAATGAGGTGGTTCCATCCCCATCTCAGTTTTACAGAAGTGGCTGGGCACAGTGGCTCACACCTGCAATCTTAGCACTCTGGCCAAGGCGGGAGGATCGCCTGAGCCCGGGAGTTTGAGGTTGCAGTGAGCTATGATGACACCAGGGCACTCCAGCCACAGAGTGAGACACTGTCTCAAATCGAGGCTTAGTCAGCGCCAGGCCCACACTTGGCTTTCTGGACATCTTGGTGGGTAAGAAGGGCCTGCCTGGGAGGTCTGGAGTGGGCCGTGCCTAAAGTGGACTTTGCAAGGTGACAGAAGCTTCTGCCTCTCCCCTGCTGTGGGCACAGAGCTCCTCTCGGGACTGCTTGGAGGACGTGTGTCCCCTGGCCACCCCGTATGCTGTGTGCCATGAGGTACCGGGTGGGATTAGCCTCATGCTGCGGAGGAGCAGCAGAGAAGTCGAGTCGTTTGCCCACAGTCATGCAGCCTGGAAAGGGCCAGCTGGACCAGCCCAGCATCCTCTCTCTGTGCTCCTGTCTCAACTGTGGTGGCTCCGCGAAGGGGTCTCCGACTGCCCAGAGTATACAGCGAGCGAGGCCGAGGAGCTGGGACCTTGCGGTCCTGCTGCAACCAGGACAGCCTGGAGCAGGGTTGTCCACCTGAGCGCTGTGGGCATCTGCGCCCGGGTCCTTTTCTGTTGCAGGAGGCCAGCTGCACACTCTAGGATGTTTTCCAGCGTCCCCAGGCTCCTACCTACCTCTAGAGGCCGGTTACAGCCCCCTCCCTAGTCATGGCAAAAATGTCGCTAGACATTGCCCCCCCGAGAACCCCACACTTAGAGGTTACAGCCCAGACTCTGTAACTTACCAGCCCAGTGACTCTGGGTAAGTTCCTTAATCTCCTGTGCCTCAGCTCCCTCACCTGCGAGATGGGGAGGTAACAGCACTGACCCATTGCAAGGATGGTGTGAATTCCTGTAGGGCTAGAACAGCGTGTGGCCGTGGTTTTAGTATCTTGTGTCAGGGCTCTAACACTTCCCTGCTAAATGTTTTGAAGAGGAATTTGAAGAGCTCTGCCTGGCCTTTGTCCTCCTTTTAAAAAAATTTTTTTTAGAGGTAGGATCTCGCTCTGTCACCCAGGCTGGAGTGCATAGGTGCAATGATAGCTCACTGCAGCCTCGAACTCTGGGTTCAAAAGATCCTCCTGCCTCAGCCTCCCAAGTAGCTCCCAGGTGCACACTGCCATACCCAGCTAGTTTTTCTATTTTTTGTAGAGATGAGGCGTCGCTATGTTTCCCAGGCTGGTCTCCAACTCCTGGGCTCAAGAGCTCCTCCCACCTGGGCCTCCCAGAGTGCTGGATTACAGGCATGCGCCCCCACAGGCAGGATTACCTCCTTTTTTATTAGAAGCGTTTCCCTTTTCCCAGGGACTGTGCCTTCTCTGTCTCAGGGCTTGGAATCCAGTCGGAGGATGGTGACACCACCAGGGAGGACACGCCGGTGAGAATGGAGTGGTACCGCGTGCTGTCGACACGGTGCCAGGACCCTGGCCGCCCGCTCCCGGGGCAGGGGCCAGCCCCAGTCAGGGGCTTGGCCAGGCCTGAGCAGCCAAGAGGCTGCCCCCCACCAGAGAAAGGAGGGCCCCGTGGGCCTGACAAGCCATACACATGCCCCGAATGTGGCAAAAGCTTTAGTAAAACGTCCCACTTGACCAAGCACCAGCGCACGCACACCGGGGAGCGGCCCTACAAGTGTCCGGTCTGCGGGAAGGGCTTCAGCGACCGCTCCAACTTCAGCACGCACCAGAGGGTCCACACAGGCGAGAAGCCCTACCCGTGCCCCGAGTGCGGGAAGTGCTTCAGCCAGAGCTCCAGCCTGGTCATCCACCGCAGGACGCACACGGGCGAGCGGCCCTATGCGTGCGCCCAGTGCGGGAAGCGCTTCAACAACAGCTCCCACTTCAGCGCGCACCGCAGGACGCACACAGGCGAGAAGCCCTACATGTGCCCGGCCTGCGGCAGGGGCTTCCGCCGAGGCACTGACCTCCACAAGCACCAGCGGACCCACGCTGGGGAGTGTGTCCCCGCGCAGGCCCAGGAGGCCCCAGGGCCAGAGCCTGGCCACCATGCACGCAGCTCCGCTCCCAGGACCCTTGTCAGAAGCTCCCGGTCACAGAATTCATGAGGCTGCCAGAGTCGCTTCTGTCCTGGAACCAGAAGCCCTGATCTAAGGGCATCTGCAGTGGACTCGGCCCGTGCGGGCCAGGTGGCAGGACGTGTTGGATGCCCAGGCTGCGGGAGGAAGTGGGGCGCAGAGCAGGGGCCCAGGTGGGGGTGTACGTCTGTGCTGGGGTGGCCAGAACAAGCAGCACAGGCGAAGGCTCTGGTGCAGGGATGCGCTCTGATGGCAGGGGCCACGCTCCTGGGTGGCCTCCCCAGCTCTGCCGTCCGCTGGCGTTCCCTGGCCTGTAGCCTCCTCACTCCTTCTCTGCTTCTCCCCCGCGTGGCTGGGACTCCATGCGCCTGCCTGTGTCCTCTCCTCCTTTTGTAAGGACACCAGTCACTGGATTTAGGGCCCCCCAATCCACTCTGACCTCATCTTAAGTAGTTACATGGGCAAAAACCCTATTTCTAAACAAGGTCACATTCTGAGGGTCTGGGTAGATGTGAATTTGGGGGCCACTCTCCAGCCCAGCGCAGGGAGCCTCCCCCGCTGCCGATGCCCTACGTCACACACCCCAGCCTTGCTCTCCACTGTGCCAGACTTTCACATGCAGGCCATGTGGCTTTTCCAGAATTGCAGTGGTGTCGGCGGGGAAGTGGGCTGAGTTTGGAGTCACCTTGGCAGAGTCACGGCTGCTTAGAGGAGGGCAATGCCAGGGAACGCCTCCCTGAACCCCATCTTCCTGTCCTCCCGCCGCAGGGAGGAAGCCCAGAGATTCGACTGGGCCTGACAGCTGTCCCCAGGGCGGGGCCCCGGGCTGCCCTTGTTCCTGCCCTCCGTGGTTATTTTCCGCCGTGGCCCTCCTTGGTTTCCCCCTTTGTCTCTCTAAGGTAAGAATTCTCCACCTTCTAGCTTTTGTCTGGCCTGCACGCCCACAGCTGGGTGAATGGCCATGGGGGGCAGTATGATAGAGTCCTTGGTGGGTTTAGTCATCACAGAAGTCATGGCACAGCTGCTGAAACCACTGGGTTCCAGAATGTTCCACCCAGGCAGTGTGGTCGCTCCTTATGGCTGGGTGGCCTGGGCCCTCATCCAAGCCTGTGATGCTCCGTCCCATTTTGTCGCCCATTTGCTGTGTATATTTTCACCTTTCAACACAACCCAGGTTCCAGGACATGGGACCTGCTCTTTCTCCGTCCCCTTAATAAATAACCAGTCCTTCTCCCGCCCCCTGTGTGCTCTGTCCTGGGGCTGCCGAATGGGGCTGCCGGTTTAGGGACAGCTTTTGCCATCCGGACCAGCTTCGGGAGCCCTCCTGAGCAGCCAGGCCCCTCCCACGCAGCCCGAGCCCCTAGGCCCACTTCTCTCTCACCAGGCCAGTGCTAGAGACAGCTGCCCTCTCCCTGGCCAGGCAGTGTCCCCGCCCTCAGCTGTGCCACACCTTGTGGGCTTCTCCCCGGAGCCCTGTGCCCACTTCCCCACCCTGCCAGGGCTGCAGGGACTGCTGCCTCCTGCTGGCTCGGTGGGCCCTGCCTGCTGCCCCTCAGGCTGCCTCAAGGCCACCGTCATCCTCAGGGCTTGTATGGATTGGGGGGTTCCAGGTTGGTAAGTGTGCCGTGGTGCAGGTGGGGCAGGGAAACGAGGTACTGTGAGCATTAAAACCCTGCCAAGTGGCAGCGCCAGCTTTCGACCCAAGTCTGAGCTCCCACTGCCTTCTCCTACCCCTGAGTTGCTTTGACAGAGAGTAATTCACAAACAGAATTGAACTTTGTATTTTGTTGTTGTTGTTTTTTGAGACAGGGTCTCACTCTGTCGTCTGGGATGGAGTGTAGTGGCTCGATCACAGCTCACTGCAGCCTCAGTCCTGGGCTCAAGCGATCCTGCTGCCTCAGGCTCCAGAGTTGCTGGGACTACAGACACACACCACCGTGCCTAATTTTTTTTCTTTTTTCTTTTTTTTTTTTAAGACAGAGTCTC